CCAGGACGCGAGCGGAGGAATTCACCGGTCAGCACCTCGCAGCCCTGCCCCTGTCCTGTAGGGCTCCGCCGGCATCCAAGTGGCCCTTGGCTGGGAAATCTCAGTGTAGTGGTGAATATCTCCCAATCAGAGAGGGATATGGCCCATGACGTCACCAGTTGCTGGGCAGATTAGGCCAATACAGGTTGCAGAGAGAGGCGGGGTTTAGAGGAGTTGAACTCAGCATTGCCCAGTCAGGCAACAATCACGCGAGGAGGTGCGGGCAGAAGGGCAGTGCTTGTGGGTGGCTGCGGGTTGGGGACCGTTGAACCGGGAGGGGCCCCAGGAAGGACCACGTGGGCAGGTTCAGAGACTGCGCCCTCTCCTTGGTGCCCCTCCCCCACGCTCTGTGAGTTTGTTCTGTGGCCCCAAGACCTGTCCTCAAGACCCAGAGCCCCGCTACCCCTGTGCCTCCCGCTTCTATAAAATGATGCTCTGTGGACATCTCTCCCCACCCGACGTGACCCCGCTCCGGCCTCTCGCGGAGCTCCAGTGTTCTCGAGGCCACACGAGGCGACTCCCGCCCGCTGCGTATGAGTCCGCAGAGGATGCCCGAGCCGCCGTGCCTCCCGGGAGCCCAAGGGTGTCTCCCGGAACCCGTGGCCGGGGGCTTTCGAAGCCGCTGGTCTTTCCTCCCTCTCTTCCGACAGCCTCGCCCCCGTGGCTGCCGCCGTCCTGGCAGCGGGAGCGGAGGAGCCTGTCCCGGCACACACCTGCCCCTCATCCTCACACCCCCCCCCCCCGCCCGCCTTCTTCTCGGAAAGGGCCGGGGGATGTGGAAGACATTCTGGTTCCCTCCCCTTCGGGCTGCAGCTTTCGCTTTCACTTCCTCCTGCGCCAGCGGCCGATCCCCGGTGCTGGCCGTCATGGCGCTGCTGGAGGTGTGCGGAGCCCCCGGAGCGCGGCCCGGCGCCTGGGCGCTCCCCCTCTCGGGAGGCCGGCCCGGCTCGGACCCGGGACACTACAGTTTCTCCGCGCGGTCTCCGGAGCTCGCCGTCCCGCGGGGAATGCAGGTCAGGGCGGGCGGAGAGCCGGAGGCGGGGCGGGCGGAGGGAGCGGGTCCTCCCGGAGCCGGCCCCGGCGGGGCAACGCGGAGGGGCCCCCGGAGCCGCGGGAGCCGCGGTGGGCCGAGGCCGGGGAGAGGCCACGTGGGCCCGCCGCGCGGGTCTCAGGGTTGGGTCTGAGGGTGAGGAAGAGCAGGTTGGGAGGAGACTGGAGGGGAGGAGGGGCGCCCCTCGAGGGCCAGGCTCCCATCATACAGCCCGAAGCCCCCTCCCGGCTGCCCGAGGGCACAGGCCCTGCAGCGGCTTCGGAAAATCCATGCACCGGCCATCAGCCCTCACTGGGTGTGTCCTGGATCAAGGGCACGCAGGCTGGATTTGGGGCCTCCCGTAAAGTGGGGACACCAGTGATAACGTGTTTTGTGAGGGTGACGTGACCTAATAGTGAAAAACCATCGAAGCTACCCTTCAGCGTGTGGCTGTGGTCAGCTTCTCTTCTCGCTGTTCTTTGTGCTGAGCCGCGGTGCGGGCGGTGCGGGCCGCCTCCTTCCTTCCCGGCCGTTTCCTGGTGGAGTCCGCTGTGGACGATCTCGTCACTCGTGGTTGGGGAATCTCTGTACCTCTGGCCTGAAGGCCCTCCAGCCCCACTTCTCCCCAGGGAGCCTCCTGCAGGAGCTTTACGGCCCTCTCCCTGCCTTCCTCCCGCCCAGCCCCCCGAGTTCCTGCAGGCCCTGCGCGGGGACCGGGAGAATGGCGTTCAGATCGATATGGCGCACGGCACCACCACGCTGGCTTTCAAGTTCCAGCACGGAGTGATCGTGGCCGTGGATTCCCGGGCCTCGGCGGGGAGTTACATCGGTGAGTGGCCCGTCCCCCCAGGCCAGCTCCCGGCCCTGGGCCCTCCTCCCAGCAGGGCCCAGCCTCTGCACCCAAATGGAGGCCGGTGCTGACGTAGGACACTCAGGCAGCGCTGTGGGCCATTCCTCCTCTCTCAAACCCGTCTCCTTCCAGCCACCTTAAAGGTGAACAAGGTGATTGAGATCAACCCGTACCTGCTTGGCACCATGTCGGGCTGTGCGGCCGACTGTCAGTACTGGGAGCGTCTGCTGGCCAAGGAGTGCAGGTAGGCGGCCCCTCGTCTGCCCCCTGAGGCTCCGGGTCAGTTCTGGATCCTGGGCCCTGAGATCAGTGCTCCTCACCCTTCGCCCTGCCCTCTAAGCTCTCTCACCCCCCCCCCCCCCCAGACTGTACTACCTGCGGAACGGGGAGCGCATCTCTGTGTCAGCAGCCTCCAAACTGCTCTCCAACATGATGTGCCAGTACCGGGGCATGGGCCTCTCCATGGGCAGCATGATCTGCGGCTGGGACAAGAAGGTGGGTGCACTCATCCTCCATACCCCCCACTGGTGACGAGAGATCGGTCCCCGCTGACCCTCCCACTGCCTCCCCTGCAAGGTCCGCGGTCACAGGGCTCTCGCTGCATGTCCACGGCCATTTCTGGGCCCAGGTGGGGACCATGGGTCCATACGCCTGTCCCTTTCGCTAGAAGAGCTGATGTCACGTTTGCTCCTCCCCCTCCAAGGTGCTGTGATTGTTACTTAAGTGCTCAGCCCCCTCCCCCCCCTCCCGTAAATTCTTACTCTTTTGTCCACTCTTTACGGGTCGCATTTGAAACCGCGTGTGACCAGCGACTCCCTCTCCGTCTCCAACCCGGACCCTTGTCGCATCCATTAGGGCCCTGGACTCTACTATGTGAATGAGAATGGGACCCGGCTCTCAGGAAGCATGTTCTCCACGGGCAGCGGGAACTCCTACGCCTACGGGGTCATGGACAGTGGCTACCGGCCGGACCTCAGCCCGGAAGAGGCCTATGACCTGGGCCGCAGGGCCATTGTTCACGCCACCCACCGAGACAGCTATTCTGGAGGCGTCGTCAATAGTAAGAGACCAGCGCTCCCAGCCCTGGGCCGGGAGGGGGTTGACATTGGGGGTGGGGGGAGGTTTCCAGAGCCAGATGAGGGGTCCTGGAGTCCAGTAGCAAGGGTTGTGGTGTGTGCTGTTGTCACGGCCTTCAGCATACCATCATTAAGGGGACTTGCCGGAGCGGAGGGTGACCCCCCCGTTCTTTCCCATGCCCGCAGTGTACCACATGAAGGAAGACGGCTGGGTGAAAGTGGAGAGCACAGACGTCAGCGACCTGATGCACCAGTACCAGGAGGCCAAGCAGTGACGGAGGCGGCAGCTGGGCAGCCCCCTGGGGAGCCCGCCGCCTGGGCCTGCGGCAGCTCACCCTCCCAGAGAAAGAGGGCCTGGCCCCAGCCCAGGAGCGGGAGCGGCCGGGGTGGGGCGGGCTGTGCTTTGTGGGCTCTGTGTCGCGCACCCCTCCCCCCTTCAGCCATCTGGGTGCCCCACTAAGTACAATAAAGGAGACGGTTATAAAGCCTCTGTGTTGTGGCTGTGAGGTGGGGGCGGGGACAGGAAAGAAAGAAAAGCATTTCCTGAGAAGACAGACTCAACCCCCCCCACTTAAGCAATGGGCCTCACCCAGTGTTTCTCCCGGCTTTGCTGCCACGTGTGGCTCTCCGGACCCAGGATCCCGCTCATCGTCACCGGTGGTCCCGGGTCTGCAGTTTAATTCAGGGTAGGGCCCTAGAACAACCGTTTCTGAACTGACAGCGTGGGATGACAAAGTCCCACCTCTCGGGGGTGTGGTGGCTGGAAACACGGCACCACCGACTGAAACAGCACATGGGCGGGCGATGCTGGGCTGGACTGTGGCGATGGGCCTTGGGGCTCAGCGTCATGGCGGTTGTGCTCCATCGCGGGATGACCGGACCGGGATTGAAGGGGAAGAGATGAGGAGGACGCCCTCAAGTGGGGGCTATAGGAAAGGTCAGGAGGTTAGAAAAATGAGAGGCACTGTGATTTCCTGGTCACGCTGGGGCGGCAGGGAGGAATGTGGCCTGGGGCCCGCCACCTCCCAGGGGAGAGCTGTTAAAGGGACAAGTTGAAAGTAGGTCGAATTGAGCACCAAGCTTTTTCATGAGGGAGAGATCCTTGAAATCCCACACGAACAGGAGTGGAGAAATTGTAGTAACCCCCACTTTAAGTTCCTCCCTCCCCAGGGTTTCCAGTTTGAAGTGACTCACTGGTACTCAGACCAACAAGGTTTCAAAAGGGTCATTGGGGCCGAAACCGGTTTGGCTCAGTGGATAGAGCGTCGGTCTGCGGACTGAAAGGTCCCGGGTTCGATTCCAGTCAAGGGCATACCTTGGTTGAGGGCACATCCCTGGTGTGGGGTGTGCAGGAGGCAGCTGATGGATGTTTCTAACTCTCCCTCTCCCTTCCTCTCTGTAAAAAAATCAATGAAATATATATTTAAGAAAAGGGTCATTGGGAATCCCAGCCTCACCTCTAGGACAGCTTGTGTTTGGGAGGTAGTTTCAACCGAAGAGTCATTTCTGGAATCAGCCAGTGCGCATGCCCATAAATAGGCTCTGGGTCAGGCAGGACCTGCAGGGCCCTGGCCACTGGGTTCTCAGTGCCAAACGAAACCAGGAAACCAAGTCCGTCCCTCACGCGCGGAAGCTGAGAGGCTGCTGCCTTCTGTGTGGGAGGCCCTGTGTGCTTCTCGCTCCGGACTTGCTGTTTTTACCCCAAGACCCTCAAACTGGAGCTTGGGCGAAGGAGGAGGGCACTTCTCAAAACGGCTTCAGTTTGGGGTAGCAAGACATGGAGGCAAGACAATCCGGTGGTTCTCCAAGTATAGGGCTTTTTTTTTTTAAACTTCGTGACAATTTAAAAAAATTGCAACGGTTCTCTGTTAGAGTAACAGTCGCTAAGGGCGAGAGGCTCCCAGGCCAGCAGGTGCGGCCTGAAGGGGGCCCTGGCACGGCGTCTGCGGTGTCGCGCGCCCCCCGGTGGCCGCGAGGCGCAGAGCAGTGCCGGGCCAGGAAGTGAAAGCGAAAGGAAAAGCGCGGAGGACATCCTGGGGGCTGGGGCTGGGGCTGGAGGCGGGGAGGGCGGACCGAAGGGAAGCCAGGCAGAGGTGCAGGAGCGGGTTTCCGAGCTCAGCCTTCAGAATCTCACCTGGAGACCTCCGGAGCCGCAGGCCGGTGAGTCCGAGCGGGGGGCGCCCGCAGCGCTCCCAGGGACGCTGCCCAGCCTGCTGGCCCCCTGCGCCCCTGCTTCCTGCCCCCCTGGACCCGAGTGTGCCGGGGCGGGCAGGGGTCGCGGGGCTTTTAAGGACGAAGGCCCCGGCCAGGCTCCCTGCTCCCCTGGCAGGCTGCTGCCTTTGGTCCGGGGAGGATGCACCGACGGGCGCGCGCGCCCGGGAGCTTTCGGGGTCGGTGGGCGGAGTGGGGGTAGGGAGGGGCGGGCGGAGCGGGGACTCCAGCTCCCTAATTCTCGCCCTCCGTCGCGCAGGCAAACCATGCGGCTCCCCGACCCGAGGCCCTGGGCCTCCCTGCTGCTGGCGGACTGGGCTGTGCTCCGGCTGCTCCAGGGCACCCTGGATGCTCTGCTCCCCCGGGGGCTGCTGGGGCTGTGGCTGGAGGGGACCCTGCGGCTTGGGTGTCTGTGGAGTCTGCTGAAGCTGGGGGGGCTGCTGGGCCCGACGGGGACACTGCTGCCCGCGCTCTGCCTGGCGCCCCCTCTGTTCCTCTCCCTGCGGGCGCTGAGCCCGGGGGCCTTGAGTGCGCCCCCAGCCAGCGTGGCTGCAGCCCCCTGGAGCTGGCTGCTGGCGGGGTACGGGGCCGCGGCGCTCAGCGCGGCGGCGTGGGCCGTGCTCAGCCCCCCCGGAGCCCCGGGCGGGGAGCAGGGCCCGGAGAAGAGCCACGCCCTCATGTGGCGGCTGCTGAGGCTCTCCAGGCCGGACCTGCCCTTACTCGCCGCCGCCTTCTTCTTCCTCGTGGTCGCCGTGCTGGGTGAGCCAGGGGGAGGCGCTGGGGACGCGGCGGGAAAGGCCCTGGCACCTGCCCGCCCTGACTCACCCTCCTGGCTGCAGGGGAGATGCTGATCCCCTATTACTCTGGCCGGGTGATCGACATCCTGGGAGGCGATTTTGACCCCGAAGCCTTCGCCAGCGCCATCTTCTTCATGTGTCTCTTCTCCCTGGGGAGGTAGGTGGTGGGCGGTGGGCCCCTGCGCGAAGCCCACGGGCCGTCGCAGTCCCAGCTGGCACTGAAGCGGAGGCCTGGGCGCGCTTACGGAGCCGCCTTTCTGCTTCCTGCGTCCGCTCACCCCGCCACTCGCCGTTGCTGCCCACCATCCTCAAAGTTCATACATGGTACATGATCACAGTGCAGAGAGCGCAGGCGGTGCGAAGTGCGGAGGCTCAGTGCTCCTCGGCTTTTTCATCTCCACGGAATACCCCTTCTCCTTGGTCTTCTCCCGCCCGCCTCAGGCTGGTCTCCAAAGTCACCCTCTTGTCAGGGCGGGTGTTTCTCTCTCTGACTCTGAAGAGCTTACCCTGCCCTGTCGCTCTTCTGTCCCCACCTTTACTGTCTCATTGCTTTTCCCTCTCAGACACACCCAGGAATCGGCTGCCACCACCCACTGCCCGCCGAGGGCGGGGCGAGGACCAGGTGGGCGAGGCACACAGGTGAACGAGTTGCTCACTCTCCTCACCCTCGCACCCGGCAGCCCCAGAAACCATTATGTCTTCATTTCATTTTTGCTGAAACCGATTTCTCGAAAGTGGTTTTTATTTTTAAACAAACTTTAAAAAAAAACCGGTCACCAATTTTCTTAGCTTCTGAAGCACGTGGGCCTGGAGCCATCTCTCACTGTGGATCTCTTTCTCCAGTTAGCTTTCATGACCCCCTTCCCCCTTCCCAGGCCACTCTGGAGACTTCCTCCTCCGGACCTTACACAGGGGCTCCCCTCCTCACTCAGGCCTTCCATCTTGAAGGACATTCTTCCCACTGAGCTGACTCAGTTCCTCTCTGTAGGTGACTCCAAGATCCACACCTCCGTGCCCAGCTCCAGCCTTGTAACCCAGGTGCCCCCTTGACCCTTGGCCCGGATAGCCCACTCTCACCTCCCACTCCACATACCCGGGTGCTTCACCCTCCCTCCTGGGCTTGTTCCCCTTCCTGAGAGCATCAGTCCCCTGGGGTCCAGCATCAGCGTCAGGGATGCCTTCCTCATGCTCAGAGCCAGCCATGTCGTTTTCTGCTTTCACAGTGTTTCTCTGTGGCTCTTTTCTCTCTGTCCTCACTGTGGCCAAAGTCCAAACCCTCATCATTTTGTGATTGACTATATCCCAACAGCCTCCCAAACCTGGTACTATTATATAATAGATTTGTATGAGAAACCCATATTTTGTAAAACACCCATTTCCATGCTTTTACATTTCCCCTTCACATTTTATTGTAAACTAGAGGCTTGGTGCATTAAATTCACGCACAGGTAGGGTTCCTAGGCCTGGGCAGTGAGCAGGGCTGATGGGGATGGGGGGAGGTTTCTGGCTGCTGGCCAGGGCCTCCTTTCGTTCTTTGCCGCCCCCTGGTGGTCAACATGCATCATAGCGAACAGTCAAACCAGTGGGTGGAACTCCTGGAGAACAAATTGCATTTTAGCCTTTTATTATTTAGGATATCTGGTTGGTCCAAGAGGAGTTGTCCAACTCCAGGGCCTGTAGAGTGGGGAACAACAAGATGGGCGAGGGGCTTGGGAGGGTGGTTCCCTCAGAGAAGTAAGTACCAGGGCGAGGAGGAAGGACTTTGGGTGGGGGGAAAGGAGACTGAGCCGGAGGGGAAGCCTGCAGGGATAGCGGGGCAGTCACAGCTGATCTCTATTTACAACATCTCCTCACTTCTATTGTGTTCTTCCCTTGTGTCTGGCATCAATACTGGTGAATTTGTATGAGTTAGGATTTGGTTCTGCAGTATTGCTCACCATGCCTTCCCCTCCCCCCCTTCCTGTCCTCTGCTTATTTCTGCCCCTTTTGCCACTGTCCTTGTCTGGTTCATTTCTCTCCTGCCTGTCCTGGTATACTTCCCCCAACTTTGCATTTCTTGTCATTCTGTGCTTTCTCCTTTGTTTCCCTCACTCATTCCTTCCCTTTTTCTCGGTCCCCTTCCCCGTCCCATCCCTCCTGACCCCACAGCTCGCTGTCTGCTGGCTGCCGAGGAGGCTGCTTCCTCTTCACCATGTCCAGGATCAACTTGCGGGTCCGGGAGCAGCTCTTCTCCTCCCTTCTGCACCAGGACCTGAGTTTCTTCCAGGAGACTAAGACAGGTGGGGCCTGGAGTCCAGGAGACTAAGACAGCTAGGGCCTGGAGGGCTTTCCCCCCACTGCACACAGCCTGCCCCCTGGCCTGCACGTGGAGGAGGTGCTCAGAGGAGGGGCTGTGTCAGGGGGAGGGGCAGGGGCAGTTTCTGGGTCTACATTGCACGGGGCTCCCTCACCTGCTCTGTCCTCCCAGGGGAGCTGAACTCACGGCTGAACTCGGATACCAAACTGATGAGCTCCTGGCTTCCTCTTAATGCCAACGTGCTCCTGCGGAGCCTGGTGAAAGTGCTGGGACTGTACAGCTTCATGCTCAACCTGTCGCCTCGACTCACCCTCCTGTCTCTGTTCGAGATGCCTCTCACAATGGCGGCTGAAAAGGTGTACAATGGCCGCCATCAGGTATGCGTGGCGGTTAGGGAAGAACCAGTCCTAGAGGTCTCTCCTCAGCCCTCAGGGCAGCAGTTCTGACAGCTTCGGAAGATCCATGACCCCTGGGACTATATGTGTGTGTGTGTGCGTGTGTGTGTGTGTGTGTGTGTGTGAGAGAGAGAGAGAGAGAGAGAGAGTATGAGTGTGTGTGGGGGGAGGTGGAGGAGAGAGAGAAGGATGGAGGGAAGGCACATTTTTCTGAGGAGAGGGTAATTTCCATCAGGTTCTCAGCCGAGTGTGCACGTAACTTCCCCACAAAAGATTAAAACTGCTGCCTTGAAGGTTTAGGCAGAGCTTTCCCCTTGTAATCAGCAAGAGTGTGGAGCAGGTAGAGTGTGTGGTCATGTTAGCCCCATCTCTCTCTTCTACAAAAATTGTGGGAAATGTGTGTAACATAGAAAATTACCATTTCTCACCATTTTAAAATGCCATTTCAGCCCTAGCCAGTTTGGCTCAGTGGATAGAGCGTGAGCCTGCAGACTGAAGGGTCCCAGGTTCGATTCGATTCTGGCCAAGGGCACATGGCTGGGTTGTGGGCTCCATCCCCAGTAGGGGGTGTGCAGGAGGCAGCCGATCAATGATTCTCTCTCATCATTGATGTTTCTATCTCTCTCTCCTTCTCCCTTCCTCTCTGAAACCAATATTGAAATATGTTTTTAAAAAATGCCATTTCGGTGGCATTAAACACATTCACACTGTTGTACCACCGTTACCAGAAAGGGGACCTGGCCCCGAGCAGGTCTGCTGGAGACTGGCCAGCAGTGTATGGGTTCTTGCCTTCATGCAGGAAACGTTTTACAATGTGAGTCCAGGTCGCTGTGAGGCACATGTGTCAAACACAAGGCCCGCGGGCCAAATCCGTCCCGCCAGGCCTTGCAATGTGGCCTGCACCGCGCTGTCATCACTGCACTCCGCTGCGTTTCCATCACAATGACAGTTTATGACTGTTCAGTAAACCATTCGGCCCACGATTTAGGCTGGATTTTAGATTTTGGCCCCTTCTCTGATTGAGTTCGACACCCCTACAAAGGCTCCAGGCACAAAGTCCATTACACACACACCTGTTCCCAGGCGGCTGGCCCACCACTTACCCAGGAGCCAGATCTCCACAGTGTGAGGGAACATGTATTAGAGCTGCGGGCATAAAACATGAAGGGCCTAGCCTAGAAGAAGCTACAGGAGAGCCCCGTCTGGGCCGCCCTAGCTCTCAGGGCGTCAGAGACAAGGGGGCCTTGGGGGCAGTTCAGGCTTAGCTGCCCATTGCTCCCTGGTTGCAAGCCTTGTGGGGCCCTTTAGGGTTTAGGAGATGCACGCCTGTGGGGGAGGGGAGTGGGGGGAGAAGAGGGGAAAGAGTATGGCCGGCTGCTCCCCAGAGGGAGAGCCCACCTGGGTCCTTTGTCTTGAGGCTTTATCTTCTCACAGGAAGGAATCTTAGGGGAGGTCTCCGGTTTTTGGGGGGTGTGTTCAACAGAATACTCATCAGTTTTCTAGGTGGGCTCCGTCAGGGCCATGGTCTCCACCAATTGGTCAGTGTCCGGGCAGGGAGTCATCAGGCATCGCAGCTGGGCCTGGCTTTGTGAGCCCGAGGCTGAAACACAGCTGAGGCCTAGATGCTGTCTCTAGGGAGGAGACCTTCTGCATCTGCTGTACATTGCTCTGCAGTGTGTCTAGCTCCCTGCCTCAGTTTCCCCATCCCACTTGACCTGGCTTACTGGCCTGTCTCACTGGCCTGTCCAACCCATTAAACAATAAATCCCCATCCCTCCTCCCCCTGGCCCTGGCAGCCACCATGTGCTTTCTGTCTGTGGGTTTGATTACGTAGGTATCCTATCAGTGGGTTCATACAGTGTTTGTCTTTTTGTGACTGGCTCACTTCACTTAGCATAGTGTCCTCAGGGTTCATCCATGTGGTAGCATGTGTCAGAATTTTTCTCCTTTTAAAAAAAAATATTTTTATTGATTTCAGAAAGGAAGGAAGAGGGAGAGAGAGATAGAAACATCAATGATGTGAGAGAATCATGGATCTGGCTGCCTGTCACACACCCCACACTGGGGATTAAGTCTGCAACCCGGGCATGTGCCCTGACCAGGAATGGAATAGTGATCTCCCGGTTCATAGGTCAGTGCTCAACCACTGAGCCAAGCTGGCCGGGAGGTCTTTCTCCTTTAAGGCTGAGTAATATTCCATCGGTGCAGGCAGCAGTCTGTTTATCCAGCCATCTGTTGATGGACACTGGGGTTGCTTCCACCCTTTGGCTACTGGTATTGTGAATAGTGTTGCTAGGAACACAAGTGTACAAATGTCTGTTGGCATCCTTGCTTCCAGTTCTTTTGGGCATATACTCAGAGGTAGAATGCTGGATTGCATGGTAACCTTATGTTTAATGTTTTGAAGAGCCACCGTGCTGTTTTCCCAGCCACTGCACTATGTTCTCACCAGCAAAGCACAGGGGTTCAGTTTCTCCACATCCTGGCCAACACTTGTTACCGTCTGTGTTTTATAAAATTACATTCCTTGCACTTATTTATCTTATGATTGGAATTTTGACCACTTTCATCCAATTTTCCTGCCCTCTACACCAGCCTTTGGTAACCATAAATCTGATCTTTTTTCTTTGAACTTGGGTTTTTTTTAGATTCCATTTATAAATGAGCTCATACAGTTTTTGTCTTTGCCCTCTCTGACATCTCACCTAGCATAATGTTACCAAGGCCCATGTTATGACAAAAGGTAGATTTCCTTTTTTAATGGTAGAATAACATGCATTTATATACATTAAAAAGTAATAACTGTCAATGGCTGTGAGGTGATATCTCACTGGTTTTGATTTGCATTTTCCTAATGATTAGTGTCGTTGAGCACATGCTTATTGGCCATTTTTATATCTTTTTTGGAGAAATGTCTTAAGAGTGGGTTGTTTTTAAATTGTTGAGTTGTAGGAGTTCTCTGTATATTCTGTGTTCTATCTTTTCATGAGCGATAAGCAAATGTTCTCTCCAGTTCTGTGCATTTCTTTTCCACTCTATTGATAGCGTCCTTTGTTGCACGAAAGTTTTTCATCTTGATGAAGTCCAATTTGTCTATTTTTTATTTTGTTATCTGTGCATCTGGTGTCATATCCAAGAAACCATTGCCAAATCCTGTGTCCTGAGCTTTCCCTGTGTTTTCTTCTAAGAGTTTTATAATTTTAGCTCTTAGGTGTAGGTCTTTGGTCCATTAAAAAATAAAGTTTTTTAAAAATTGATTTCAGAGGAGAAGGGAGAGAGAGAGAGAAAGAGAGAGAGAAAAAACATAAACGATGAGAGAGAATCATTGATTGGCAGCCTCCTGCAGGCTCTCTACTGAGGATGGAGCCTGCAACTCAGGCATGTGCCCTGACCTGTATTGAACATGACCTCCTGGTTCATAGATCAGCAGTCAGCCGCTGAGCCACGCCAGGGCACCAGGGGTTGGTCTGTGGTTCATGTTAAGTTACATCTCCACCTTCTGTGAAGTAGCCATAGCTCCTAGGGAAACGACCCCGCCCCTCTTGTTTAGACAATGTGTGTGTGTGTGTGTGTGTGTGTGTGTGTGTGTGTGAGCTCAAGTGAAGGGAAATAGTGTCCCCTACACTCACCAGCGCGAGAGTGGGTGCTCCCTTGTCCCCTCCCTCCTCACGCATTTCCCCGGGAAATGTAAGGGAGAGGGAAGAAGAGGGCTGTGCTCCTAGGTAGACTGGGACATCGGGGCTGGGATGCTGCCTTCTGCCTGCGAACCCCTGCATGTCCTCCGCGTTCCCAGGCGGTGCTTCTGGAGATCCAGGACGCGGTGGCACAGGCGGGGCAGGTGGTGCGGGAGGCAGTTGGAGGGCTGAAGACCGTGCGCAGCTTTGGGGCTGAGGAGCACGAGGCCTGTCGCTACGAGGAGGCCCTGGAACGGTGCCGGAAGCTGTGGTGGCAGCGAGACCTGGAGAGGGCCCTCTACCTGCTCTTCCGGAGGGTGAGCAGGGTGCCTGGGGGCGGGGCTGGGTGTGGTGGTGGTAGGGAGGGGGCGCCCAGGGCGGGGCTGGGTGGGAGGGGACGGGAGGAGTCTCTCAGCGCCGCCTCTCTCCTCCCTCCAGATGCTGCACTTGGCCATGCAGGTGCTGATGCTGAGCTGCGGGCTGCGGCAGATCCTGGCGGGGGACCTCACGCGGGGCGGGCTGCTCTCCTTCCTGCTGTTCCAGGAGGACGTGGGCCACCACGTGCAGGTGCGTCAGCAGCGCGCATGCTCTCTCCGTCCCTCTGTGTTCTCTCTGGCCTCTGGGCCTTGGGATTTATTGGTTCTCCTTAAAAATACAAAACAAAAATCCCAGCTCATTGTGATATGAAGAATTTAAAACATACCCTCCCCTCCCCACGGACAGACTTTAATGACCCGCATGTACCATCACCCGCTTCAGCAAGGGCCAGTTCATGCCCACCTTGTTCTCTCTCTCTCTCTCTCTCTCTCTCTCTCTCTCTCTCTCTCTCTCTCTCTCTCTCTCTCTCTCTCTCTCTCTCTCTCTCTCTCTCTCGGCTGTGGTGCATCAGCCCGGGCCTGCAAAGCAGTGACTCTGCCATCCCATCACGTCCCCACTGCTTGGTGCCCAGCCGTGTGGTGTGACTAGAAAAGGCAGAAGGAGCGTTTGGCTCTTTGCCTGGACTGAGCGGGTTTCAATAACAGCTCGTCACTTCATCCTGGCTTCATTTTGTGAATTCCCCAGACGTTGGTTGAGCATTCTGTGTGTGGAGGCCTGCGGAGGCGGGTGGGCACAGGGCCCCTCTAAGCACGCCCTGCCTCCCGGGCTGGTCTGGGCACCAGCACACCCACAGCGGGACTGGGAGCGGCCCGGCGGGAACCGGGGCATTGGCGCGGCTTGTAGATCACCTTTCAAGGTGGACACTTGCCTGGACGAGGGGAGTGTGGCTGGGGGTGTGGGGCGTGGCAGAGCGGATGCGCAGCGGAGGCTGGTTTCGGGGGGCTGACCCTCCCTCCTGTCTCCCAGACCCTGGTGTACATGTGCGGGGACATGCTGAGCAACGTGGGCGCCGCCGAGAAGGTGTTCCGCTACCTGGACCGGCGGCCGAACCTGCCTCCGCCCGGCGTGCTGGAGCCGCCCGCGGTGCGCGGCCTGGTGGAATTCCGGGATGTGAGCTTCGCCTACCCGCACCGCCCCGACCAGCCGGTGCTCAAGGTGCGGCTGCCCTGGCCGCCAGGCCTCGGGCGGGACCGCAGGTGCGGGGAGGTGGGGGGAGGAGGGGGGCGGCCCGGCCTCTGAGGGGAAGAGGCCCTCAGTCTCTCCTGCCTCCCCAGGGGCTGACGTTCACCCTGCGCCCCGGCCAGATGACGGCGCTGGTGGGGCCCAACGGCTCGGGGAAGAGCACGGTGGCGGCGCTGCTGCAGAACCTGTACCAGCCCACGGCGGGGGCGCTGCTGCTGGACGGGGCGCCCCTGGCCCAGTACGAGCACCGCTACCTGCACCGGCAGGTGCGTGGGAGGAAGGCGGGGCCGGGGGCGGAGTGGGGCCGGGGGAGTAGGGGGTGGGGCGGCGGGGCGGGGGGGGGGGGAGGGAAGGGGGCGGGTGCAGACGGCACGGTCCTGGGGGACGCCCGGGGGAGGAGACCCGCCAGGTGCCAGGCCGCCGCTCCCGCACAGGTGGCTGTGGTCGGGCAGGAGCCCGTGCTGTTCTCGGGCTCCGTGCGGGACAACATCGCCTACGGGCTGCAGCGCTGCAGCGACGAGGAGGTGCTGGCGGCGGCCCGCGCGGCCCGGGCGGAGGAGTTCATCCGGGACTTGCCGCAGGGACTGCACACAGGTACCGTCTGCCCAGCGGACTGCTTTGTGCGTGAGGGCGGCGCCCCTGTAGCTGCGCCGGCTCTGCTCCTTGGCCTCCCCGGGCCCCCCGCCCCCCGGCGCCCCCCTTTCCCAGGCTCCCGGCGGTGCGGCCCGGCTTGCGGGAGGGTAGGGAGGGTCGGGGTACCTGTAAGTGAGGGCGGCGTTTCCGGGCCCTCAGACATAGGGGAGAAGGGCAGCCTGCTGGCCGTGGGGCAGAAGCAGCGCCTGGCCATTGCGCGGGCCCTCGTGCGGGACCCTCGCGTGCTCATCCTGGACGAAGCCACCAGCGCCCTGGACGTGGAGTGCGAACAGGCGGTGAGTGCGGGCGGGCCTGCGGGCATGAGAAGGCGGGGGGGGGGGGAGAGGGGGGCATGAAGCTTGGTGCTGTGGGGCAGTCCCGCGGGGGCTGCTGCGGCCGAGGGGGCAGTGCGGCCTTTGTGGGCCCCTCTCCTGCCCCTTGGCTTTCTCGCCTTCGGGACCCTAAACCGCAGGGGCGCGCCGGGGTGCGGCGCTCTCCTGAGGCTGGGACCCCATGCAGCTGCAGGACTGGCGCTGCCGCAAGGACCGCACGGTGCTGGTGATCGCGCACAGGCTGCAGACGGTGCAGCGCGCCGACCAGGTCCTGGTGCTGCGGCAGGGGCAGCTGCTGGAGCCCGAGCAGCTCCGGGCGGGCCAGGACCTCTACTCCCGCCTGGCGCAGCAGCTGGAGGGCTTGGAGGGCTTGGAGGGCTTGGAGGACTGAGGCCCGCCACTGGCCCCCGCGGCCTTCGGAGGAGCAGCGCGCTCTGAGCCTCCCGGGCTGCACCTCCCTGCAGCCGTAGCTCCTTGATGCAGATTTGGACCCACACGTGCCTTTGCGGAGGGGGCTACTGTCTGCCCAGCGACCTTATTTCCTTGAAGAGCAGCGCAGTGCCTGCTGCAGCCGGGTACTGTGCAGAATCAATGTATTTTAAATACGTTCCTTGGGATCTAAGCAGCACACACTCACACAGAGAAGTAGGGCTGACCTGCTCCACCTCCCAGAGGTGACCGTCGCTGCGTTTCCGCCTCCTGCTGGTGCTTTGTCTGTTTGAGAGCCGTGCCAGCCACACGGACAGACATAGTCCCCAGTCCTTCCCCATTCCCACCAGCACCCGGAGGGGCAGAGCTCAGTGCCATAATTAACAACGTTAATAAAAACGGATAATAACTGCTGTTTATATGTTTAATGCGAATAGGAACTGTGCCGAGTGTTTTTCCTGTGTTACCATTTTGAGTCCTTATTCTCAATCCTATGAGGTGGGTATTATCCCCGTTTTATAGATGAAGAAACCGAGTCTCAAAGAGATTAAATAACTTCCCCAAGAGTGCACAGTGGAGCCGGGGTTTGAATCCAGGCCTGACTCCCACACTAGGCCACGAATCACAATAAGCTCTTTCCCACTACTTGGCACAGGGCTCCCTTCATTGCAGGCAAAACTACGTGCCTGTTGGTATGTGAATACATCTCTTCTCCCACTGTCCTCATTCCCGGTCCTCCTCCGGGGACCAGCCAATGAAAGCAGAGCTGTACACATGTCCGGCTGCAGGGAGGGGCTGCCGGTGAAGGCTCCGATTCTAGGAAGCAGAAGCTTTCACATTCTCAGAAACGGCAGGTACTTTCCAGCTGGCAGTGGGCGGGCCAGGGCTGCTGCTGTGAGTTCTGTTCTGCCTGGAACTGGGCAGCGGCAGCGGGTGGAAGAGCTGGCGGCCCGCTCACAGCGCCACAGCTCGGGCTCGCAGATCATGAGGGTGAAACACGGCTTTGGAGAGACGCAGGCCAGCCTCCCCCCCCCCCCCCCCCGAAAAAAAAAAGTTCTTCCTGCACTTACACATGGGAATCGTAATTCCCGGACCTCCCAGCCTGTGGAAACCAGCGCTCATGAAGAAGATCTGTTAAAATTCTGTGGTATCCTCACTACAACTGCACCCACAGACTCGATACTTTAAACCCAGAAAGGAAAGCAGCTTGAAACCAGGGCTCTGCAGCGACAGCCGGAGGAAGAGTCAGGCGCCGATGCCAGTGCAGGGAGCTGCAGCAGGCCGTGGGGCCTAAGGTGTCCCCAATTATCTCAGGACAAACTCCCAGGTACACCTGTCAGGGACACAGGAGAATGTTCCCCGGCAGTCAAGGCGGTCGGTCTTGACAGACAAACCCTACAGGTGTGGCCTGTTTAGCAACCACAGGGAGTCCTGCTTGTCCCAGAGTTCTATTCTCTTCATTCACCCTGCCAGCCCCAACACCATGTGATTTCCCTTCTTGTCGCTGACCTTCAGTATCCTTCCCACTCAGTCATGTTTCACTCGCTACAAAGGAAGATATAAAAGGAAAGAGGGAACTTTAGGAGCCCAGAGCAGCCGCTACCTCCCCCGCCCTGGTCAGCATTGAACTTCAAGCCCCTTGTGCCCCAGCCGAGTGGTGAATGCAGAGAAGCGTGGAGTTGTGGGATGTGAGGGAAAGGACTAGGGAATAAGGAAAACAAACATCTCCCCGGTTTTGGGTGTTCAGCAAGAGAAAGGAGTGCCCCTTTATTTGAGTCTGATGCCATCTAGTGGTTCTGGGAAAACCCTGAGTTTCCAACAGAGTTTTATGGACTCATGAATTATAAGTAATTCAATAACAATAATAATCATTTATCGAGTCCTTCCTGAATGCTACTGCTGTGCTGTGCCTGATATATATTCTTATTTTATCTTCAAGGTAATTCTAAATGGCAGGTATTGCAACCCCCAAATCCAAGAGAATTGGACTCATGTACTGACTTCCTGGCCACAGAGCTAGGAAGAGGTGGCCTCTGCTAGTTTTACAACAGACTCATCTAGAGCTGTTGCTTATACTTCCTGCACCCACTTTCCCTCCCGCTATTCTTTTCTTTCTTTCTTTCTTTTTTTTTTTTTTTAAGATACAATGTATTGAATAGGCAATTTGTTGATGCGGTTTAAAATCAAAGGCACAAAACGGTGCACAGAGGAAAGCCCCACTCCCATTCCTCCCCATGGTTTGTCAATCCCTGCTTGGAGCTCTATGCTTATCCTTACAGAGAAACTTAATAAGCATACGTGAGTCTTTCTCCCTAGTTTTACCTATAACAACTCCCTAAATTGCAAATACATTACAAATACAAGGTGGGACGAAAGTAGGTTTACAGTTGAGAGTACACAAAACACAAAGTATTCTTGTATTATTATTTATTAACTAGAGGCCTGTTGCACGGATTCATGCACCGATGGAGTCTTTTGGCCTGGCCTGTGCCCTCTCGAAATCTGGGACTCCTCAGGAGATGTCAGACTGACTGCTGGTTTTGACCCAATCCCTGCAGGCCAGGCTGAGGGACACCACCAGTGCACAAATATATGCACCTGGCCTCTACTATGCATATTAGACCTTTGGTTAATCTCTTCCCACTCTCCCCTTTCTCTACTTCCCTCTGAGATTCATCAGTTTCATGTTTCCATGAATGTGCATTGAGCGTCTGCCCCCTGGTGGTCAGTGCATGTCAAGTCTACCAGTTGAACTGTCACTTAGGCTTACATATACTAGAAGCTGTTGCACAAAGATTCGTGCAAGAATAGGCCTTCCTTCCCTTGGCTTCACTCCTGGCCACCCCAAAGCCTTTGCAAGTCTTTGCTTCTGGCCAGAGCACCCTCCTGTAGCTCTCTCTGTCTCTCTCCTCTTCCCCTCCCTCCCTCATAGCAGGCATCCTGCCCCATCTGGCCACCTTGTGCCTGCATATGCAAATTAAAACACCATATTTGTTGGGTTAATTTGCATACCCAGTCCTGATTGGCTGGTGGGCATCGCGAAGGTACAGTCAATTTGCACATTTCTCTTTTATTAGTGTAGATAGATTACTAGTGATTCAATGAATGGATTCGCGCACATTGAAAGCAAATTAATTAGAAGGTGGCTGGCGGGGTGGGACTGGGTGAGATGGGCTGGACATGCCCTGAAGCCAACCTCCTGCAGTCCCTCCCCAGTGTCTGTGGAGTGACTGGGGTCCCCTTCAGCAGGTGTGGTCTCTCAGTCTGGCATCATAGCAACCTGTCAGATGGGTGGAGGGACACTTAGCATAATATATATACATATACTGGGTGGCTAGATTATTATGACCACCCCATCAGTACTTCCTTGGGCCACCTTTTGCCTTCAATGCTGCAGAGATTCTTCTTGGCATTGACTCCAGGAGATGTTGAAAGGTGATGTGAGGAATCTAACACCATGCCTGATGAATAGCACTGTCCAGTCTGTGAGATTGGATGGTTGTGGAACCAGCTGCCTGATGGCTCTTTAACTTCATCCCACAAATGCTCAATTGGATTGAGGTCTGGTGATTGTGGGGCCCACCTACAGATCAGTGGAACACCTTAATTCAAACTTAAAATTTTTCCCCTTAAGATAAATCTAATCATGAAAAACAGTAAAGATGTTGCAAGTAGAGAAAATGAGAGATGACAAAATTAATATAGGAACATAGGAAAAATATTGTATAAAAAGACCACTTTGTTCAATTTTATGGATTAAATGAATAATTATCTCGAAACATATAACATACCCAAAGAAATTTATATAAAATAACTTCCATAGGAGAAATAGAGAAGATTGTAAAAGAGTTATCCCTAGGAAAGCCTAAAGCCCAGATATTTAGGGGACTGTAATAAAGTCTTTAAAGAGGAAAAAAAAAGCATTATTTTCATGAAGTAAGTATAATATAAAAGTTAAACTGTGATAATGCACAAAAAGGTTACAGATGAATTTACTTATTAATATTTATGCAAAAGTGCTAAAAATATTGCAAACAGAATCTAATACAGATTAAAAAAAACCCAAAAAATGAAAAACAAAAACCAAAAACATCAAGACCAAGTTGTGTTTGTTCTAGAAAACCTTTCTGAAGTTCAAAATACTGTATAATTTCAGTGGCTCTTTTCTAGGAACAACGAGTTCAAATGAACAAATTAGGACAACGAAGGACCACAAACACTCACTTTCCCAGGATGCGGTGATAGACAAAGCCATCCTAGGAGAAAGGTGTCACTCAATCAGACAGGAACCACTCACCAGACAGCACAGCAAAGGAGTGATTGCTGATTGGAGTCCAGACCTTTAGTTCCTCAGCTACCAACGGATTCTCTGGGTGAGATCATGAGTTTGCTCCAGACACCCCAAATTCCACCAATTTCCATTGCTTTTTATATTCTTTCCTTCTTACCTTCCCCTCAGGTGACAGCCCCCTCTGGCTAGGGACTTCGATCACCACCGAGGGAGAGTTACATGTTTTGAGCTGGCAATGTCTTTAGCCTCGTATAACCCTTTCACATGGTGTTCTCTAAAAATATGTTTTAACTCGCTGTCTAGCATCTCAGAATACTTTTCTAACTTCTCCAAGTCAGCTTATGTTTCTGGTGATAGGAGGGTGTAGAAAGAGGAACATGAATTTAAATGAACAGTATATTTCAAATTTAAAGTCATCTAAATAGCAATTGAAGGGGTGATTGGGTTAGGTAATAGGGAGAATTATTTGTTGTCACCAACTTTTCTCACCCCCTAGAGAATGGGGCGAAAAAGAGAAAGAGATGCAAATTATGAGCTGGAGCAAAACAGCACAGGAAAGCCTGTCTATGTTAGGGAGGGCTCTTGGCTGAAGTCAGACAGGATGAGAAGATTGAAATTCCTTGTTTCCAAGCTTATACAAGGAGAACAGGAACACAATGTGGGAGGAAGGAAGCAGGCTGCAACCTCTCCCTTTGCTGGCTGCCTCCCAGAGCTCTACAGTCTCTCTGATAAGCCTGGGAGCCCACATCCTCCCCTGTAGACATTGACACCAAGAATGGGAAATGACTCAACAAAGCTTCGAACTGGACCAATCAGATACATTTAATTTACTCAACATGTATCTGAGGCTGTTGGCAAGGGGCCTCCCAGGCTGGCATTGCTTTCTCATCTTAGTTCCTGCAGACAGCTCTGCCCCTTCCCGCTCCCCACCGGCTTCCTTCTGTGAGACAGGATGTGATGGAGCTCTGTCTAACACCAAGGGTTATAATAACATTCTTGTTATTTCCCCCCTTGAGCACCTTATCATTGCCGAGACGCTCAGGTTTACAAATAGAGCTTCCCAAGTACGAAATGCAGTGTGATGGAATGAGCACGGCCTCTGGACTTGCTAGGCATGT